TTTTAAACACTCGGGGGAAATTTACACGGAGGGGAATCACGCTCGCTCGGGTAAATTCACACGAGTAAGAATCAAACTCCCATTTTTTACGAAATAAATTAAAAAAAAAAAAAAAAAAAATTATAATTCACACTCGGGGGAATTTACACGAGCGAAGTGGTTCCGCTCGGGTAAATTCGCACGAGGGAGGCGAAGCTCGATTTTTTTCGTTTTTTTTTTCGGATTCGGAATCTACATAACAAGAGGATCGAAAAAACGAAAAAATTACCTCCGATCTGTTGACGATTTGCACGGGCTTTGCGAAAGAAAATCGAGAGGGTTGAGAGAGTTTTTTGAGTTTTTTACCTTTGGGTTTTTGAGAAAGGGTAAAAAATGTGCCTGAAGGTTTAATTTATGCCTGCACAAATCATTTCAAATGTCGGATTGACGCCGTGACTTTTGTTCCCCACAACGAGAATTATAATATTACTTTAATCTCGACATAATTGTCAATTTGTCCTGCATTTCATAATTTATAGAATGACACAAATAACCTTACAATAGCTAACTATGTGCGACAAATTTGACTTAAAAATTTGCGGTTAATGGAGTTCAAACTCGAATCATTGACACAATACAGTCAGAGACGAGTCCATCCAAGAGCCCCTCCTCATTTCTAAGAGTTTCCTTCTTATTTATTTACACTCAATTATTTATTTAAGTCCACTTATTTAAAGCTCCGCTTCCTTAACGTTGATCTGTCTTCATCTTCTAATTTTGAACTTAGTTCTCGTTCTCTGAAAAATAAATAAAAATTTTGTTCTCTCACACAGTCAGTGATCTACAACCGTTGCTTGCCGGACATTACCACCCAACGACGATCAGACACGCACCGACAATTGATTAAGGTTTAATTTAACGTCTTTTCCCTCGTCTTAATTTTCAGACTGAATAACAATTAGAAGTCCATTGTTTTATTTTAATAATGGGACATGATATTCATGTTTCTTGACTTCACATTTCGAATTAAGTATATAAACGAAAGTTTACCCTTTGCATCTTTGTGATTGGCTACGGATTTCGTTAATAATAATAATAATGATAATAATAATAATTCTTTCATTGACAGTAATTAAAGTCAGCCCATTTATCTTTGGGCTTTTGTAAGCGGCCCAAATATTACACTACACTAAATGTGAGTTTCAACGAATATAAAGGTATATAACAATGTCGTTTAATTATTATATGTGATGTGTCGTCTTATTTATGTGCACACATACTCACTAGCTATGCGCGGGGCGGGTATAATTGTGTGGGATTTATATATGTGTTTACATGCTCTCTACGCCCATTTAGGTGTGAAAGATCTGTCGATATTATGTTAATTATTGTATAGTGTGGCGCAAATATATTATTTGTGAATGGTTCATTCATCAATCCATCTTGCAGCCCACTTACGAGGAGCCCCACAAAATTTGAGCCCAAAATTAAAGTCGGCCCAATCTCATTTTGGTTTTCCCTTTCTCTCTCTTCACCGTATTCTATCTCGTTTTTTTTATTCGGCAGATGTTTACAATATGCCCCTTTTTTTCTCTCAACAAATCTTTCTTCTTATCATCAACAAATCTTGGTGGTGATTTGTTGCCTGATTCTTCATGAGTTTGGTGGATGATTTGGGCGTATAAATGCACCATATTCCCTTTATGTGTGTTGGATGAAAAAGAGACGAGAAAAGAGAGAATACTTTGTGTATTTGAGTAGGAAAAATTAGAGTGAAAGAGACAACTTTTTTTGAGAAAAAAAAACGCTCGATTCTTTTCGTGCTTGAATTTGGGTTTCGTTTTTTTCTCGTTTTTCGCTGGAATACACTGTGTGTGTGTGGCTGGCGTGAGTGCTAGGAGGCCTCACTTAGATCTTGGACGAGGACTTGGAGAACGTGGATTGAGCCGAAAATCAACCCTCGCCGGAGCAGCCGCCAGAATTTATCATCCGCAATTCTGTGTGAATTGCTCGGTTCTTCAATTCTGACCCCTCTTATTTTTCTATAATATTTGTGCAAATTGTTGGTTTAAGTAGCTTAATGTATTTAATGCATTAACTTACAGTAGACGTAATCCTTCTTGAATTGTCGTCCAAAATTGTTATTATTTGTTGATTGGAGCACTTTCATACATTGATAGTTGCAACTGATTTATTAATAATGACTGTATTTTATAATTATTTCTCCGGGCAAATATTTATTTTAAACGATTCTCCGATAAGTTTTTTTCCCAGTATATTAAATTATATTAATTTTATATTAGAGTTCCCTAAAACATTCTCTATGGATCAAGAATCCAAACAGTCCCCTACAAAAACGCAGAAAATGATGATTAATTAATTAATTAATTAATTGGCAAGAACTTGCCATATTAATTCCGCATCGTACGACGGCAGCCGAGCAAGCGACCACCCCTCACTCTCCAATTCCCCCGCCTGCGCCACCGCACCACACCACTCGTACGACGCCGACCCCGCCGGCGAATCGCCGCCTCTCCAGCTCTCAGCATTCGCCGCCGAAGAATCAGCTTTCCCCCCCTCGATTTCACTTCCAACCACGCTCTTCGAATCAGTAATTTTACTGCTACCACCATCCGATTTTTTTGCTGTTCTTCGCGCTTTCTTCTCCCTCTTCACCTTCTGCAACACGGACTCAATCTTCGCATCCACGGCTTTCCTCAACTTCTCGATCCGGGCCCCGTCGCCGATCCCCAACCGGGCCGGGTCGCTCAAGTTCGGAAAATTGAGGCGGGCGTACTCGCCGCGGAGCTTGTACGCCGCCCTGTCGTAGGCGTAAGCAGCCGCTTCCGCCGTGTCGTAAGTTCCGAGCCACACCCTGACTCTGTTCTGCGGCAGCCTTATCTCCGCCACCCATTTGCCCCACTGCCTCTGCCTCACACCTCTGTACATCTTGCTCGGTCTCAAATCTCTCGAAATCAATGGGCTTGCGCGGCTGAATCCGTTCACCAAATCCCTCTGCCTGAGGTACACCGACGACGATCCCGGCGGCTGAAAACCAGGGTCGGATTGCTGCTGACAGTGGTGGGAAAAGATTGAGTCCAAGGTGTTTGTGTAATTGCCGCTGAGAATTAGTTGTGACAGACACAGCCCAATATTAGAAGCTGCAGGTATGCTTTCTTGGGTTGTTGTCATTTAAACCAAAAAAAAAAAAATCAAGATTGATTTTTTTTTTTTTTGGTAGTGGAAAAAGATAGCAGCTTTTTTAGAGAGAGAGAATTGAATTTGGTTTTTTGTAGGTGTTTGGTACAAAGGTTTTTCAGGTAAGTATGAAGACTTTGATCTCTCTCCTTGTGGTCTATTTATAGAGGATTAAACCATATACTGTCATATATGGCCTTTTTGTACTCACTAGTTCACATTTATGAGTCCCTTTTTTTTCTTTTTTTAATTATCGATAATTTATAACTTAATTTCGTATCGATAGTCTTAAACTCGATTTAGTGGTAGAAATTACGCATATTTCAGCTTTATAGTGCATTTTGTACGTATAGTTGTCTACAAACATCGTTTTCAAGTTTGGGTAAATTATGGCCGCCACCTCTGAGATAAGGTCAAATTACGAAGGAAAAAAAAATCGTTCTTGTTTGGGTAATTACAACAACCTCCTTCAACATGAATCTTCTTACACGTTCACTTTTATGGTGTTAAATTCAATAAAATCTTGTAGATTTTGTGGAATTTTCTCTAGTTAGTACTCGTTTTGTGCAAAAATGCAGTTTTTGATGCACCGCAGTCTGATATTTACAAGCCAACAAACACATCTTATGATCATTTTGCTTCAAAATGTGGAGCTTGAATAGGATAAAACTAGAGAATACTCCACGTATTCTAGAAGATTCCACTAAATTTGACATTATAAGGATAGACGTGTAAGAAGATTTATATTTGAGAGAGTAATTATAATTACTCAAACAACATGGGGTTTTTTCGTAATTTAACATCTCCAAGTTCGGCAAGATAAATTTAATTTCCACACCCCACCCCCACCCCCACCCCTGCCCACGGTGTGGAACCCTTTGTGGTCCGTACATCTGAGGAAAATTAAAAAGCTACTTTATGAATTTATGAGCAGTGGGGGCAGAGTGGTCTTTTTCTTGCATTCACTCTTTCAAGTTTGAAAGGTGTTCGATGAAATGCGTCAGTGAATCTACCTCCGCCACGCGTTTTGTTTTCAATTCAATTTTTGCTCCTCCAATTTCTTTCTTTTTTATTCGGTTACCGTTCATAAGTGTCATTCATCTGTCTCTATTGGAAAAAAAAAATTTCATTCAATTTCATTGAACAAGTCAACCTTTTTTCGTTATTTTTATTATTAATAAATTATTATGTTCGTATCTCATGTTTGCATCGATTTCATATTTGACATCAGTGTTTCAAAAACTAAACTTTTTAGTCAGTTCTGCCAATTTCCGTCCGTTCTAACGGAATCAAATGTGTCCGTCACTGCCTTAACTACTAGCTAGCCAGCGGTAAATTGACGAAAATGACCGAAAGTATTAAATTATTGAAACATAAATGACCAAAATATGTATTTTGTGAACATAGAAGATCAAATGTGAAATCAGTATATACTTTAATTTTCCCGAAGTTATTTGCATTGGCCTTCTTCTAATGCAAGCTACCATATGTATTATTTGTCAAATTAATTGGATTCTCTTTTGACATTAAGTGTTTGGATGCTATAAGTATTACCAATAAATGGTGGTTCATAAAGAATTTTGTTACATGCAAAATTGATCTAATAGTGGCATAATTTACACTAAATTGAACAGACAAAATTCCTGAGAATCAATTCCTAAAGATTTAACAACGTGCCTTATGAAACACGAGTTCATTCTTTTTTTATTTTAATTTTTTTGTTAGGTTATGATCATAGTTTGGTATGTATCCTATGCAACTTAAATTAACGAGTAGAGATAATATATTTAGGTGGTTTTTGCAAAAACTTTTATAAATAGATTATGAATTCTTTTTGTTCACAGTATGTTTTTACATGTTTGCAAAATGATTTCTTGCTTTTGTTTCTCTTAAAATAAGCAATTTTATGTGATAATTGTAAAGCACTCTGGACCTATTTTTCCTATTTCATCTAATTTAAAATATGTGAGAAACATGATTGAATGGCAAATTTTCAAATATTTTTGTTGTTTCCCTATAATTTTAATTTACACGCTTCCATCAATTTCCGTATCTCCATTTTTTGGATATATTATTTCATTATATCATCGGTTTTGTGTTCGTGCTGCATAAATCACAAATGAAGTAATAATACGTAACAATAATTTTTCTTTCCCACTAGGTATACCATATAATTTCAAGATTCTAATATTTCACATTAGCCCCACATCCAAAGTGCCACGTGTCGAGCAATCAACCACTTTAAAGTAAAACAAAAAACAAAATAATTCATATGAAAGTCAAATAGAAAAAGTTTGAGCAAATCCCATTGTGTGGGAACAATATACTAATATAATGCATTGAAGGTGTAAAGTTGATGGTTGGTTTTTTCAAAAGAAACAAGAAGACTATGATTATTTGATTAAAATGCCTTTTCGTTGACAATGAACTCTCGTTTGCATACGTGATTTATGGTTCCATTATTAATTCCTATAATCCCTAAATAAATATCTTTTTTTTAAACAAATAATAATTATAAAAAAAAAAAAAAAAAAAAAAAAAAAGAAGTCCGTGACTCCGTAACCAAACACTCCAAAAGTCAAACCCCCAATCTCATTAATCCTCACTTTTTCAGCTGCCAACCATCTCTTGTGGCAATTTAATTTCATGTATATTCATCTATTTCCACCACTAATGATGAAATGTAAATTGATAGAAAATAAATCTGGATTTGTACTCTTAAAATAATTAATAATATGAAAAGAAAAAATACTAAAAATAAAGGAAAATATTATATGAACTACTATTTTTTTTAATCAGACGAACGTTTAAATTTAAGGTAAATATTACTTAATCCCCTTGTGATTTGAGTTTTTTGTACATGACACCCCCGTACTTTTAATATAAACACATGCTCCCGCTGTAGTTTGAGTTTTGTGCACATTACCCCTTTGTCCTTTTAATATAAGCACACCACTCCCCCTATGGTATTTCACTTGGTAGGTAAATAATCATGTTCATTAGGGAGATTTTTTTTTTTTTTTTTTTTGGAAGTAGAGGGTGGTTATGTGCTTATATTAAAATATAAGGAGGTTATGTGCTATATTTAAAGTATAAGGATTCATTTGCATAAAGTTAAAACCAAAGGGATACAAGCGCTATTTATCCTTAAGTTTACCAGTAGTTGGCAATAATAAATGAGTTTGACCTGGAAAAAGTGTTATATTGTCTTCTAGCACAACTTAAATGGGCCCACACGGTGTGTTCCTCAGTGGACCCCACTCAGACAACTACATGACAGCCCAACTGCACAGTCCACGTGGCAATTCCTAACTGGTACAATTCCAACATGATAAGTGGCCGACACCCCTTTTCAAATTTCAGTGAGAGCTAGAAATTTGCTTCAACATTTTTATTTTATTATTATATTTTTTATTTTTATTTTCATGCAGTGATATTCAAATTGCTAATTATGTTTAAATTTTTTATGTTCTAGAAAATGAAATATATTGATGCATAAAATATGGCATGTACAGCACAATGATTCCACAACTAATTCAGTCAACTATTTTTCAATTAACTAAATAATCAGGATAATAAAGTATCATTAATAGTTGTATCGATGAATATATGCACATAGCTAAAAATACCGTCCGAAAAAACAATTATCACTAAAAACACAAGACCGTTTGTTATAGAAACGTGCTTACTTTTGTTAATACTATTGTATACAATTTTTCTAATTTTTTATATAAATTTGAAAAATGTTAGGGGCCGTGGCCCCCTTGGTCCTGTGCTGGCTCGGACAAAATATATAGGTGAGAATTATTGAACCAATGTAATAAATTCTAGCCATGTCATTGTTATGTCTTAATCCATCTTTAGAATTTCAAAGAAATCGGTTTGACAAAATTATAATCCTGCTTTCATAAATTTTCATTCATAAATTGACTTGTTCAGATTGGAATATACATGAATTAGCTATTAAATGATTTTATACCTTATTTTTTTTCATTTTAAAGAATAATAATTTAATAAATATTATGGTGGTACACCTGGTTCATTTGTCACAATCCAATCACCCTCTTTCTAAACCCTAATTTTAAGATAATTTGACTAATTTTAGGTTTGTCCAAATTACTGTTCTCTTAATCTTCTTGCATACTATTTTTAGTGAAGCATTTATACATATCGGTATTCCAAAAAATTTTAATTATAAACAAAGGACGAAGCCACGGTTGATTCTAGGTACACATCGAGAATATCGATAACACGTCGTATACGTAGATAAACGGACTAAAAATTATCGTTGTTCAGTATCAAACGTAATTTATAATGATTGGATCATTGCATTGCATTGCGTTATGCTCAATTTTTATGCAAACGTCGCAGATAAAACGAAAAAAAATATCTTTAATTTTGAACTTGAAAATCTCATTTACAATAACAATCTTGATCGAAATTTGGTTATCGAATCTCGGAAAATACCAATAGATAATTCAGAAACCGTCAGTGTAGAGGCATAAGTATCGTCAGATAAGCACTCGGTAGCAGAGCATATTACCAAATCACTTGTCAGATCAATAAACTGGATCTAAATTCGAATTAATTAATCAAGATTCTTCTATATACTATTTAATAAATTCTCCGATCTCCCAAAAAAAAAAAAAAATATATATATATATATATATATATATATATATATATATATATATATATATATATATATATAGAGAGAGAGAGAGAGAGAGAGAGAGAGAGAGAGAGAGAGAGAGAGAGAGAGAGAGAGAGAGAGAGTTGGGACTTTTTTAAAATCACGAGATGGAGAAATTAAAAAATAAACAATAAATAAGATAACAATAAACAGGGCTCACCTGATCGAAATGAAACTGAAAACAGGGAGTTGGTAATCAAATAAAAGCATACAGCATGTAAATTCAAGAACGAAAAATTAACGGCTTTCGTTCACTAAAAGTGATGGAAATAAAAATAAAAAATGTTTAGAACTCAAATGTGATGCAATGTGGTATAAATTGATCGACACGAACAAATATGTATCATTAATCAAATTTAACATAATGCACGTAAATAAAGTTCAAAACAAAAATAGCATGTACTCTCGGGAACATTGCAGTCAAAACCATGATTAAAATGTTGGCTCGATTTTTAATCAAGAATCAATCCCTATATATGATTTTAACATCAAGAAGATTCACGGGAATATATCTACCTTAATCCAAATTGTTAATGCCGTCAGAATCGGAATAAACATGGTATCTGGAGTAGACAAATCGGTGATCCAAAGCGCACCTCCCTCTTTAAAAGACAGAACGTTTTCTGCCATGTTCAAAATGACGAAACAAAATCGGTCACATTGTTCAAAATAAGGGTAAATTACGGTCACCTCCCTCCCGAGGTAAGGTCAAATTACGAAAAAACCCCTAAATTTTGGGTAATTACAACCACCCTCCTCAACTATGAATCTTCTTACAAGTTCACCCTTGTGGTGTCAAATTTATTGGAATTCTCTAGATTATGTGGAATATTCTCCAGTATGTACCCGTTTTACTCATTCGAACTCCACATTATGAAACAAGATGATCATAAGATGTAGCTAGTGGCTTGTAAATATAAGATTGTGGTGCATCAGGAAACTGCTTTTGGCACGCTTTTGGCACAAAACGAGTACAAACCACAGAACATTCCACGGAATCTAGAAGATTATGTTGAATTTGACACCATAAAAATGGACGAAGGTGTGAGAAGATTCATAATCGAGGGAGGTGATTATTTCTTCGTAATTTGACTTTAACTCAAGGGGTGGCCGTAATTTACGCTCGAAATAAATTAAAAAAAAAACAACGGCGTAGAAAGAGAGTAGATAAATTGAACTTACAGCTAAGAAGGAACAACAAAAGATAGGAAAGCTAATTAGAAGTCCCGTCGACACAGCGAACCCAATACCAACCAATCTGTAAGAGCAAGATCCCGATTTTTATTGAGCATCACTAATCGAAGTATTTACTACAGAAGTAAGCTACATACATTTTCTTGAGCTCTTTCGTCCGTGCCTGCTTTTCAGCAGGACTCGTATCCTGGAAACAATCAAAGAGTAATTACTACTATTTAACCAATACTCGCAAATTATCAAAATCAAAATCAAAATTTACAAGGTTAGATAAATCAACGAGAGATTGATGAACCATATCGTATTTCGCAATATTTTCTTAATCTCCTCCATCCGAGGGCGTTGAAGCTGCATGAAATAAATTACGAGGGTTCCGCGACAGTTAAATCGTAGGAAATATTTTTTACTACATTTTAGACATCCCTTGCTCGAAAAAACTTACTTCAAATTTTAAGTGAGACTTGAATAAATATATCGAAAGAGGAAGTTGAATCGAACGAATCAAAATAGCCGACGCAACAATTGATGCCCACCTAAACGGAAGTTTTGAATCGAACGAATCAAGAGCAATAGAATGCACAATTTAATAACCCTAAAAAATTGGTATTAAATTAAAAAACCCTAAAATCAGAGTTCAATGCTCACCGATTAAACCCAGTATAGCAATGCACATAATCAATCAAATACTGGATAGCAGCCACCGGCATGTAAGGTTGATATGAAAAGATCTCCAATTCTTACGATGATGACATGAATCCATAAAGAACTGACTATGCAGCTCATGGATGTGGTTACAGCTTCCAATAGCTTATGTTGATGTAATAAAGATGTAGTTTCCAAGAGTAGATTTTTGTTTTTTTTTCTTTTGTATTGGATTACGTTAATATATAGTGAATTAAGTTAAATTTTTATGATGAGTTTGAAGTGTATTTCGATAAGATTGGAGTTGATTTCAAAATTTTCCTTTGGAAATTGAGTTTTTCAATTGAATTGACACGTGTTTGCCTTCTTTTCTCTTCGTTTTAGTTTTTTGAGCAGACATAGAGATTGCGGCGGTGGTTGCTAGATGGATGATTAGTACACTAGAACCTAGATAAATTAATAATTTCGTTTAATAAGTATTCTTTTCGATCCCAACTTGAGGACATCATGTTAAAAGTTATTTCATTAAATTAATATTTCGCTAAATTAGTAGAAGTCGGTTGGTCCCGATTGTATTAAAATATAGAGGTTTAACTGTGGTTGTTATTAGATATTTTCTAGCCAGTTATATTAATTTTTTTCCGGCCAAAGCACGTTATATTTTCGCCTATCTACATTTGTTAAAGTTGACTACAAAATCTACATTTGTTCCAATCACCCTCTTACTAAACCCTAATATTAGGGTGTACAAGAAAAGCAAATTTGCTTCAATGTCACTTAAATCTGCTTTACACAAGAAAGTTGCATCCACAAAAAGAAAAGAAAAACTAATAGCAATTTTATATCGAAACTTTGTTATCGAATATCCGTATGTACCGATATCAAAAGGATACTATAACCCCGAAACTTGTCAGCATACCAACTGAGTATTGTCGGATAAACACTTGTAGCAGAGCATACGAAAATCACTTCTCAGATCTCTAAACTTCTACTAATCAAGTATATATATATATATATATATATATATATATATAAGGTGCAGTTATAATATTACTTGGTTTTTATACTTTTCTTCAGTTCATTGACCTCCTTCTCCAAGTTTCTAATCTGTTGACGAAGTGTAGGCTCATCGGAATCTTGTTTTAGAAAAGTATCTTTATGGTCTTCTTTAAACTTCATTATCGATTCGAGAAACGATAAGCCGGGTTTTCGTTTCAGTGCGGGTGGTAGTTGCGCCATGGGTATAATCGGTAAACCTAAGAACAACTTCACCCCACGCTTCCGTAACACTGAAAAAAACAATTCATCGGAAATAATTTGAACGATTTTTAAGAATTAAGAAGAAAAAGAAAAATCACAAGATCGAGAAAATTAGAATAATAATAAACGGGGCTCACCTATGTCGCATGCAAGTGAAAACAGGTTGAAGGTAATAAAATAAAAGCATATAACCTATTAAATGCAAGCGAGGAAAATTCGGAAAATGTTATATAAAATTGAATAAAACCATAAATATATCATTAAATCGAATTTAAATAGTGCACGTAAAACAAAAATAATAGCACGTACTTTCGAGAACATTGCAGTCAAAGGGATTATCAACGAGGAAAAGACCAGACCGAAAATCTTGAGCGGTCTTTCAGTTATACTGCCTTTCAAAGGCTGAGTAAAGATCTGAAAGGGAATATACCGATTTAAAATTAAGAATTAGTTAAAATGTGGTTTAGGTTTCAAAACCACGATTTAAAAATTGGTTCGATTTAAATCAAGAATAACGAAGGATGCATAACCATGCGTTATATTAAAGGGTAAATTACACCTGCACCACTGAGGTATGCTAAAATAACTTTAAGGTGTTTGTGGTATCGGTAATTATATTAACTTATCCAATGCAATTATCCCGTTACATTCAGGGGGGTGATTGTAAATACCGATACCACAGGGACCATACAGTCATTTTAGCATTTTAGCAAGCCTCAGGGGTGTAGGTGTAATTTACCATGCATTAAATTAACATGCTCGTCTCTTAGAAGTTAACATCAAATAATCAAGAAGATTCACGGGAATATGCCATAGGCATCGAAAAGGTGGGGGGCTAACCTCAGACCGGATCCAAAATGACAATCCCGTAAGAATCGGAAGAATAAACATGGAATCTGGAGTAGACAAATCGGTGAACCACAACGCTCCTCCCTCCTTAAAAGACGGAACGTTTGCTGCCATGTTCGTAAGCTGCAAATAAAAATGACGAGACAAAATTGGTCAAATTGTAAGAAATAAATTAAAGTAAAAAAAAAAATTAAAAAAATACAAGGAACGTGAACTTACAGCGGACAAGATACAACATAAGATTGGAATGTTAATTAAAGATCCCTTCCACCGAGTGAAGGGTGTAACACCGTATCTGTAAGAGAAATATCCGATTATTATCGAGCGTAACATCCACTAAAGACGAAAAAAAAATATTACGATTATTCTGAATTATAAAGACGAGAAAAAAAAGTACGTACTCCTTGTAGAGCTCTTTCATCCGTGCCTGTCTTTCAGCCACATCACGAGGACTCATATCCTTGAGCAATCGAAGATAGTTTAATCAATAGTGATCAATTATAAAATCAATTACAATAAATATCTGATCGAGAACGACATTCGACACAATAAATAAATAAACGAGAGATTGATGCTAGTACCTTATCCCGCATTTCTTTCTTAATCTCTATCAACCGAGGCTCTAGAAGCTACATAAAAAAAATAATTACGAGGGTTCAACGATAATTAAATTATAAAAAAAGACATGCTCGAAAACTTACTTTATACTTTAATTCACACTTCCTTAAATGTATCCCAAGAGGAAGTAGAATCGAACGAATCAAAACGGTCGTCACGACAATCGATGCCCACCTAAACAAAACCAAATTTCCAAAAGAACACAAGTTTACGATTCTCGAGAATCTCAAGTGCAATTTTCATCCAATCAAAACGGTAGAATTAATTATCACAAATGGTCTTAAATCATAATAAGCTCTGTTTCAATGATCGAACGAACTATACGCACAAATCCAATAGGCACGTTGCATTTTTCACTCCCATTCAAATGAGCAAAACAATATGTCGTATATACATACATACACATTACTCGATCCTAAGACGAAAATACGAGCCCTCGCAACAAACACTACTCGTGCATATACTTAAAAAAAATTATAAAACAAAATCCCATCAAATTAAACGAATTTCCTCGAAAAAAAAAAATAGTAATCGAAACCCTAAAACACTGAGTTCAATGCTCACCAATTAAACCCAGTATAGCAATGCACATAATCAATCAAATACTGGATAGCAGCCACCGGCATGGAAGAATCCGCCGCCGCGATCGCCACCTCATTCACCGCCGGGCCCACATGCGAAGCCACGTCGACAGCTTTATCAGTCATAATCTCGATATTTTCCGGCGGACCTTCTCCGAGACTCGACATATTCCGCGCGAAAATCGGCCCACATCCCGCCGGAATCGCAAATCTCCGGTCATGGAACAAATTTCTCGAGCTAAAAGAAGCGCCCAAATTATTACCCGACCCGAATAGGCGGCGATGGAGGTGATTGGAGATCTGAGGGTTTTTGAAAACGGCGTCGTTGCGGGGCGGATTTTTTCGATCGTCGTCAAATTGATGAATGTGCGGAAATGGAGTAGCGAATCGCTGCTGCTGAGAAAAAAGCTTCGCTCGAGCGGCGATGCTCCGTCTGAAAGCCATTAATCTTGCGAAAGGGCTTCCAGATCTTTGGTACGAGGTAAGAGTTTTTTATGATTTCTTTTTCTTTGTTCAAAGATTGATAGCTTGATGAGGAAGAAACTGGGTTTTAAGGGGGTTTATGGAGTTTGGGGTTTAGTGGGGTGGAATTAGGGACCAAAATTTAAATTAAATAATGTTTTGGGCTAATGTGCAAATAAGTCTTTTTATTTCAATAAATAAAAAGGGCATTCAAGTCTTTATTTTTCAAATTATTGCACCCCCAGTTAGCCACAGAAAAATCTTACTCTATACATTAAAATTATGGTAAATTACGGTCAACCTCTACGGCTAGGTTAAATTACGAAGAAAAAAAATCTCTCATGTTTGGGTAATTACATTCATTCTCCTCAACTATGTTTGGGTAATTACATTCATTCTCCTCAACTATGATTCTTCTTACACGTCAATTCTTATGGTGTCAAATTCAACATAATCTTCTAGATTTCGTAGAATGTTCTCTAGTTTGTACTCGGTTTGTACAAAAAGGCAATTTCTGATGCACCATAATTTGATATTTACAAGCCAATTGACACATCTTGTAATCGTCTTGTTTGAAAATGTGGAGCTTGAATGTCGTAAAACGGGAACAAACTGGAGAATAAAACGAAGGAATTTCAGAATTCTGCATACTCCAATCTAAGAAAAATGGCTATAAAACAAGTATTCTCAATATCAGACTTTTTCAAAATCTAGAAAGGAGATGTATATATTTTTTAGTAATAAATTACACTTACACCTCTGAGATATGCTGAAATAACTTTAAGATTTCTCCGATATCAATAATGATAATTACCCTCTGAGACATTGTTAAGAACCCTAACGGAATAATGCATTGATTGTAAGTTATTCCGTTAGGGTTCAAACGGACTATTAGTTTCAGGAAGTGGTGGAGACAACATATCTCAGTCGAATCCCGAACATGCTCGCATAATAAAACATAAAAATGTATTTCAAAGAGTATCAAATTCGATTTATTGTCACCTTGACCATATAATAAATATGGTGCACTTAATAATATTACCATTTTTTTTTATATCTTTTTCTTCAGTTTCTTCCTTTCCTTGACCTCATTCTCCAAGTCCCTAATCCTTTGACGGAGCGTAGGCGAACCGGATTTCTTTTCATTTGCCGGTTTTAACGACGGAATTTCAGCCGGTTGTTGTTCTGATTGTAGAGAATTCTTTTGTTCGGCATCTGCGTACATCTTCGATAGAGACATCTTTTGTTGGGCTTCTGCGTACTTTTTTATCGAATCGAAAAACGACAAGGCTGGTTTTTGATCCGGTGAGGGTGGTTCCACCGGTATAACCGGTACACCCAAGAACTCCTTCACCCCCGGCTTCTTCAATACTGAAAATTCAACGAAAAAAAAAATTTAATTAAACGATTTAAGAAATAAGAAATCAGAAGAAAATTAAATAAAAATAATAATCGCT